TGGTTGATTCGTGTCGACGAGGAAGAAATTTTGTGGAAATGCAAAAATTTCTGTTAAATCTTATTCTGAAAATGAAGAGTCAGGATGGAGTGGATGCTGTTTGGGGAGGATTCGGATTTGTTTCGCGAATTTGGCGGGATTCTTCGAATACTAGTTTAGTTAAAATTGTAGAGAAATTTGTAATTGAGAGGAAAGAAGTTTAATATTTCTATGATCTTCTTTTGAATAAATATATTTATTGTATAATTATCGTTGCGAAAAATTGTAGGGATTTGTAGTTGAGAAGAAGAACATTTCCATTTTGAATAAATATATTATAGTTATTGAATTTTTAATTTATTGTATAATTGTATAATCGTTGCGAAAAATTGATAAAAAGGAACTTAACGAAAGTGACGAATATTTCCACTTTGAATATAAACAAATATATTATAGTTCGAATTTTTAATTTATTGTATAATTGTATAATCGTTGCGAAAAATTGTACAAGAATTTGTAATTGAGAAGAAGGAAATTTAACAAAAGTAGCGAATATTTCTTTAAATATGAATAAATATATTATAGTTATCGAATTTTTAATTTATTGTATAATTATCGTTGCAAAAAATTATACATCGCAGGAATTTGTAATTGAGAAGAAGAAAGTTTAACAAGAGTAGCGAATATATTCACTTTGAATGTGAACAAATATATTTATTGTAATTATCGTTGCGAAAAATTGTAAGAATTTGTAATTGAGAAGAAAGAAATCTAACAAGAGTGATGAACATTTCCATTTTGAACAAATATATTATCGCTTACGAACAAATAGTTATCGAATTTTTAATTTATTGTATAATTATCGTTGCGAAAAATTATACATCCCAGTAATTGAGAAGAAGGATGTTTAACAAAAGTGACGTATATTTCCTTTAAACGTGAATAAATATATTATAGTTATCGAATTTTTAATTTATTATAATTATAGATAGTATAATTATCGTTGCGAAAAATTATACATCGCAGTAATTGAGAAGAAGGAAGTTTAACAAAAGTGACGTATATTTCCTTTGAATAAATATATTATAGTTATCGAATTTTTAATTTATTATATAATTATCGTTGCGAAAAATTATACATCGCAGTAATTGAGAAGAAGGAAGTTTAACAAAAGTGACGTATATTTCCTTTGAACGTGAACAAATATATTATAGTTATCGAATTTTTAATTTATTATATAATTATCGTTGCGAAAAATTGTACAATTGCAGGAATTTAATTGAGAAGAAGTTCAACAAGAGCGATGAATATTTCCACTTTAAATATGAAATATATTAAATATATTATAGTTATCGAATTTTTAATTTATTGTATAATTATCGTTGCGAAATTCAACAAGAGCGACGAACATTTCCACTTTGAACGTGAACAAATATATTTATTGTATAATTATCATTGCGAAAAATTGTATCGCAGGAATTTAATTGAGAAGAAGTTCAACAAGAGCGATGAACATTTCCACTTTAAATATGAAATATATTAAATATATTATAGTTATCGAATTTTTAATTATTGTTTTTAATTATCGTTGCGAAAAATTGTACAGGAATTTGTAATTGAGAAGAAAAAAGTTCAACAAGAATAGCGAATATATCCACTTTGAACGTGAACAAATATATTTATTGCAATTATCATTATCAAAATTGTACATCGCAGTAATTGAGAAGAAAAAAATTCAACAAGAACGACTTTGAAGGAAGTTCACTGAACGATAACAATGATGTTTCCACGAAGAAAATAAAAATCTGGAACA